CAACTTGTGTAGGTAGAGATCCAGTTCCTCCCGCCTCTGGGGGTACACTGTACATATGATGTCCCTGTAGAGCCCAAAGGCGAGTACGAACTCAGGGATTGAAAGTTTTTTATTTAGTCTAGGGTTCCTGGCCTTAAGGACCATTGACAAATCCCCAGCTATAAGTCCTGTTCTCTACAATATCCTGCAAAGCAATTAGTAGTGAGACTGGGTTAACTTCCTTACCCTCAAGAATGTCTTTCCTGATGGAGATGGGGATCAAATGTGCAGGTGTGACAATGTGAGATGTAGAGGGAAGGGGAGAAACTGTGCTCGAGCTACTTTGTGTGACTGCTACAATGGGGGCAGTAACCCACCGCCGGACTAGCTGCGGAGGCCTGGGAAATAGGGTGAGCCGTTTCCAGTACTGTCAAACGATTGTTAATAGTTTGAAAAGAGGCAATCAATATAGACATCCTGCCTTGCACTTCCCCCATGCCATCAAAACTTCTGCCCTGAGAACTAGTACTAGTTCTGGGGTCATTGGAGTGAATGGATAGAAGCCTAAAGAGTTTTGTCTTCCTTGCAGTGGCTGGGTAGGGGATGCACCTTCTACGAAGCTCAGCAGCTAGTTTAGGTATAGTCCATGACCTCAGGGACCCGGGAGTAGCAGGAGTGAGTGACTCAACAGGGGAACTGGGACATGTGGGAGTGCAGGGCCTAGCTTGGGTGTCAGGAAGAGACAGGCAGTCTTCATACTCAAAAGCTTGAGACATGCTAGAAAGTGACAAAATAAGTAATCAATGACACATACAACCGAATACCAACATATAGAACTGGCTGGCTAATTTAGTGCCATTAGGCGAAAAATTAATCTACCCCATGATAGATAAGGCCCATCTAATTGCCAAGTGGCAGAGAGAGGATCTAGCTACGATTTGGCTCGAGGGGAACGTGGCCACCGAGACGTTGTGGCGGGGTGTTTGCCACTCGATGATGTTAAAAGTGGCTCTAAAGAAGGGCCTGCAAGGCAGTAACTATGATGGGTTGTGTGGGCAAACCTCTGTGTTGAGGATGGGAGACTGGCCTTGCCAGTGTGAGACTGTGACGTGCACTAAAATGAAGGCCAGCACCTGAAACCTATAAGCCAGTTCTCTTTCCATAAGCATGGGCTTGACTCCAATGAAGCATGTGGGGAGAAGGCATGTACCTTGAAAACAGGCCCGGACTGGCCATCGGGCACACCGGGCAAATGCCCGGTGGGCCGCGGTGGCCGTGGGGCCGAGGCCGGCAGGGAGATCACAGGATCTCTCCTGCCGGTCTTTGCAGGGCCGGCGCTATCTGAACGCCGGCCCTGCAGTAGTCTACAGCGGGCCGGCCCACATGCAGGATAGTGCGGCCGCCGGGGGAGAGAGGGAGGGAGCCAGCCTGCCAGCAGAGGAACCCGGCTCAGCTTTAACTTACAGCTCCGCCGGGTTCCTCTCGCGAGATTCGGAGCGTTGCCATGGCAACGCTCCGGGTCTCGCGAGAGTGATCTCTAGCCCAACAGGCTAGAGTTCACTCACCACTTGGACCACCAGGGATGGATGGCGGCAGGACTAGCAGGATCCCCCCTCCCAGGCATAAGGTAAGCAGGGAGGGGGGATATAATCAGGGCACATAACACTCCCAGCACCCTCACTCACACACACACACACTGCACCCCTGACACTCCCACCCTCACACACTGCACCCCTGACACTCCAACCCTCACACACTGCACCCCTGACACTCACAGCACCCTCACACACTGCACCCCTGACACGCACAGCACCCTCACACACACACTGCACGTCTGACCCTCACAGCACACACACTGCACGTCTGACCCTCACAGCACCCTCACACACACACTGCACATCTGACACAGCACAAACAAAATGCACCCCTAACACTCAGAGCACCCTCACACACACACACTGCACCCCTGACACACACAGCACACACACTGCACCCCTGACACTCTCAGCACCCTCACACACACTGCACGTCTGACACAGCACAAACAAAATGCACCTCTAACACTCACAGCACCCTCACACACAACACACTGCACCCCTGACACACACAACACACACACAGCACCCCTGACACTCACAGCACCCTCACACACTGCACCCCTGACACTCACAGCACCCTCACACACACACACTGCACCCCTGACACGCACTGCACCCCTGACACTCACAGCACCCTCACTCACACACTACACGTCTGACACTCACAGCACACACAAAATGCACCCCTAACACTCACAGCACCCTCACACACACACATTGCACCCCTGACACGCACAGCACACACACTGCACCCCTGACACTCACAGCACCCTCACACACACACTGCACCCCTGACACGCACATCACACACCCTCACTTACACACACTGCACCCCTGACACACAGCTTCCTCACATGCATACACTGCACCCTCACACACAGCTTCCTTACATGCACATAGCACCCTCATGCAAACACAGCACCCACTCACACACAGCACACACACACTGCACCCATCACACACACAGCACCCTTACCCACATAGCACCCTCACGCAAACGCAGCACCCATCACTCACACACACACTGCACCCCTCTCTCACACATACTACACCCCTTACACACACACACACACACACAGAGCACCCTCACACACACTGCGCAATATGCTTTCCTGGCATTTTTGTCTCCTGGTATCCCAACTATGGAGACACCAGAGACAAATTTCAAGCAAACACAGTGCAAGCATGTTATTAAATTTGCTTGCGCTGTGCAGAACAAATACAGGGTATTTTTCTCATGCCAGAGCTCTTCAGCAGAGCTCTGCGCATGGTCTACCCTGGAAGAGCATTGAACCAACATGCTCACTTTGTGATGGGGCGTGCTTGTCATTGGTGATGACAAAACACACCCTATCTGGCCCCGCCCCCTTTTTAGTGGGCCGCTGTAATTAAAAAATGCCCGGGCCGAATTTTCTTCCCAGTCCGGCCCTGCTTGAAAAGTAAACTTAGCCTTACGCCAGGAAAGGGTAAATACAGAAAGTATACACCTATAGAAAGGATTAACGAAATTACTGAGGGATAAGTAAAAAGAATAGAAAGAAAAAAGGACAAGAAGACAATCCACATAAAGGGGTCAGAGGAATGCTTCTTCTAAAAAGCAGGAAAATTCTTATAGAGACCTATGAGGAAAAGTAATACATATACATGTGATTATAATAATAACAAGGGGGATAAGAATAAAGTTATACTAATGGAACTAAATGTACCTAAGGAAAGCTGAAATATACCGTAGCCTCTAATATTAGGAAGGTATAGAAAGAATTCTAAACAGGAGTGATAGATTAGAAAAGAGACAATTTAACCCTACACTGAAATGCCACAAAAAGAAACGTGTAGAATTGAAGCCGTTATTTATAAACGTCAGACTGTTAATGTATGCGAGGGACCATAAGAGGGTCAATGCTAAAAGGCAAGCCCAACCGCTAACCCCCCAAGGACTGATGGGCAAAAAAGCTGCTGAAGTAAATAAGTAACCCAACATGTGAAAACACAGGCAACGTGGTGTTTCGAGGATGTAAAAAAGGTGTACATTGAATCAAACGTAATAAAAGTTACATAGACAGAGCGTAATTGATTAAAGGACCACTCTAGGCACCCAGACCACTTCAGCTTAATGAAGTGGTCTGGGTGCCAGGTCCTTCTAGGGTTAACCCATTTTTTTATAAACATAGCAGTTTCAGAGAAACTGCTATGTTTATCAATGGGTTAATCCTTCCCCCTAATCCTCTAGTGGCTGTCTCATTGACAGCCACTAGAGGCGCTTGCGTGCTTCTCACTGTGATTTTCACAGTGAGAGCACGCAAGCGTCCATAGGAAAGCATTGTAAATGCTTTCCTATGCGACGGGCTGAATGCGCGCGCAGCTCTTGCCGCGCGTGCGCATTCAGCCCAGGAGGAGGATAGGAGGAGGAGAGAAGGAGGAGAGCTCTCCGCCCAGCGCTGGAAAAAGGTAAGTTTTTACCCCTTTCCCCCTTCCAGAGCCGGGCGGGAGGGGGTCCCTGAGGGTGGAGGCACCCTCAGGGCACTATAGTGCCAGGAAAACGAGTATGTTTTCCTGGCACTATAGTGGTCCTTTAATAGTTTGCAATAATGTTGGGAGGGCCACGAAAGGCCTGGCCCAAACAGCCTATAAGAAAGTATTGCAGATAAATACAACCATACATAGATTTTATAATTCTAAACTACCAGGCCCGTCATGTACGTATAAGTGAAAAACATAACATATGCCCAGTGTGATTAATAAGTGGATAATAATATAATACAGTGAATAGTTGTTTAAGAAAAGAATACTGTGGGGACATGTAAATGACAGGCTAGAGTTTACTCACTAGTAAATTATGTATAGTGAGCAATAATGAGTCTAACAAGCTAATTGAAGTACAATTTGTAACCAGTCAGAAACCAATTTTAGTAGATAAACCCCTAAAATAGAATATAGGAATAATTTGAAAAATAGGAGTTTAAAATCCGAATTAAAGAGAACAAGAGTTGTGAACTAGGATAACCATAAACTATTAATAACTTAACCGTAAAGTACCTATTCCGTAATATATAACGCAAAAAGCTGAACGAACACGCCATAGTAACCTAAATAAATGGAAGTTCCACCCGGACCATGAACAATGCTTGAACGTTCAGGAGGAATTTTTGACTAAATAAAATTACTGAATGGTAAGTATTTCAAATGAACAGTCTACAATTCTCATTGACCAGAGCTCAAACACTTGAACATCAAGGAGAACAAATGAAATACCAGCCAATCTAACACGAAACATAACTAACTGTAACTCATGTGAATGCAGAGAGAGTTTAAAACATACAAAATGTAAAGGGCCAAGTACCAAACAATTATATTCATACGAAAGGAAAAATGGCTATGCGAACTTTCGGTTGTTGAAACGCATGGGAAAACATACAAAATAATATGAAAGCCTGGTTTCAGAAAAACGCAGGTAAAGGCACGAAAACTCCTATGATGAGCCGAACAACGTAAGTATGAATACGAGGACTCCGATGTGAACGGACGTGCTGCAACGAAGCTCCTCAAACCGGGATAATGCCGTCCAGGAACCCCCAATGGGAAACAAAAAAAGAATGTCTACCTAAGCACACACTCCAGACCCGGGACCGGGCAAAAAATCCAGAGATTTAGAACGATATTTCAGGGACACGGTCAATATCTTGGGAGCAGAGCAAGAAGAGTGCCGGACGCCATCTTTATCACGCGGCTCACACTCCAGCAGCCCGTCTAGATCCGAGCATGCTGCTGGGACAGGCATGGCAGAAATAAAAGAAATCCTCCAGAATTTGCCTTCGAAAGCAGAACTAGCTATTATGCTGACGAAATTAGAATCTTCTGTGCAAGAACAACTCTCCACACTTACCTCAGAAGTCAAACAGATTAGTAACAGAGTGGGAGATCTAGAGGACAACCGCGAAAAAATTATGGATAGGTTGCTACATTTGGAACAGGGCCAAGAGAGGAATGAGGCCAAATTACTCTATAACATGCAGCTGGCTGAGGATCTCGACAATAGAGGCCGCAGAAATAATATTAGAGTACGCGGCCTTCCGGAGGCGCAAGGAATGGGTGAGGACCTCCACGTGATATTACAAACTCTTTTCAACAGAATACTACAGAGGCCCGAAAACACTCATATCATCATAGATAGGGCCCAAAGAGTGCTCAAGCCTAGGGCCTAGCACCGGAAACCCCCAGAGACGTGATATGCAGAGTTCATTACTTTTCGGAGAAGGAGGAAATTATGCGCACGGCGAGAGAAACCGCAGAAATCCTGTTTAACAATACGAAAATACTATTACTCCCTGATCTGTCCTGGCTAACGCTTGGAGGCCAGAGGGCCCTGAGACCGGTCACACAAGCCCTACAACAGGCGGGAATCAAAAACAAGTGGGGCAATCCATTCTCCCTCATCGCTAACCACCAAGGGAACCAGATCTCCATGACGACAGCGGCAGAACTCCCAGAATTCACTAAGCGTCTGGGCATCCCGACAATGGAAATACAAGACTGCTATGAAGTTGGGAGCCAAAGGAACCAACCTCCGCCTAGCCGACGATTACAAAGTCGAACTCAAGACCCAAGAAAGACACCGACAAAGAGAACGCCGACGGTTTCGCTCCAGCAGAGATCCCAGCGCCTACTAGGCACTCCAAAAAGGAAAAGATGAGACGTGTCACTATCTTCTGGAACGGACTTTGGGACTATCACATCACCTGTTATTCCCATACCAGACTTAATTTGGGACGGTAAACATTTCTGATTATTGTATTTTATTTTTTCATATGAGATCAACATGATGGGAGGGTCAAGTTACTATCACACATGAGATTGCCTCTGTATTTAGCATTCCATGCCACCCAAGAAACACAAATTAAAAGGCACAGGACCCGGAGGTTTGCAGGGTGGAAACACTCAGGCGAGACTCTGGGGGATACCTAGACACACCATCAGGAAAGTAGGAGACCTAGCATGACCGCCTTCTTTAAGAAGTGGAATCTAAAACTCACCACAATAAGACAACATAAAGCCCTCATGCTGATCCCATCCTGTTATCCCGGGCTAATCACTCATAACAGTTGAATGGCCGCGGAGGGGGTGTGATGTTCACACTCGGGGAAAGTTATATTATTACCACCCTTTGAGGGCGGAGAGCTACGGGAAGGGCGAGAAGCAAAGCGCAATTTGCGCCTCGCACTGACCAACGACACACAAACCCCCACTGTCGTGGGACCTTTATGGTCCAGAGCGGTACATACCACAATAACTGACTATCGGTCTATATTATTGTCAGTTCTTAAAACTTCCCTGACTCAGTTAGTATAACTCAGAGTACTCAGGGTTGAGTACCGACTCCTTAATAGAGGTCACCAAGAAATTTGAACTATATACAATGAAATGTAATCGATCAATGAGAGTATAATCAATATTCACTAGTCTCGATCACTACGTACATCCAGTTTGCCTATTCTCATGGAAGTCCTCGACAGATACAGTGACTTCTCTAACTTCAAAATAAACACAGAAAAATGTGAGATCTTAAATATTAATGTCCCTAAGGACCAAGTCACCCGCATACGAGACGCATACCCATTCCTCTGGGCTAATAACTCCATTAAATATCTGGGAGTACAATTAATGAATTCATACCACACACTATACTCCGCAAACTTCTCACAGCTACTCACCGCAATAAGCTCAGATGTAGCAAAGTGGAATAAACCACACTTTAGGTGGATGGGCCGTATCAACAGCATCACAATGATGATTCTACCACGTATACTATACTTACTCAACACACTACCAATCCATATCCCTTCAAAATTCTTTAAACAGATACAAACGATGCTTACTTCTTTTATATGGGCTAAGAAAAGACCCAGGATAGCCTTTAATATTCTGACCAAAAATAGAGAAAGGGGCGGCCTGGGATGCCCGCACATTCTCCAATACTACAAAGCAATACACCTAGGGCAAATGAGCTCAACAAAGAACCTAGGGCGCATAATAGAGTGGTCGAGAACAGACAGGAAGAAGATATGGGTCGAGATAGAACAAGATCAAATAGACACCCCATTGCAAGCTCTCCCCTGGACAATTCACACCACCAATAGTAAGATCCTGACCAATCTCCCTACGATCACCCCCACACTACAAATCTGGAATTCAATCAATCAGGGCTCGGAATTAACTCCGACCACATCTCCCAAGTACCCCATATCACATAACCCATTACTACAGACGAATCTGGAAAGTTTCGGGAGGGCCCCAGGGACGTCCCAGACAAAAGACCACTATTTAACATTGGGTGAGGTCATAGGACCTCAGGGACTGAGACCTCTACAGGATCTTGCGAGATCCAAAACCCAAACCATCCTGCAAACATTCCAATACTATCAACTCAAACATTTCTTAAGCAAAGAACAACTATTAAATTGTACACCCAGGGCTGAGACATCTTTTGAAGCCTTATGCACAAAACCAATAACTAAGAAAATTATATCGAAATGTTATCAACTAATCCAGACTTCAGAGAACGCAGGCCTCCCTTGGTTCACAAGAGCCGTATTTGGACGGTTCTCTACACCTCTGGAGGAAACCCAATGGTCAACCATATTACAAAAAATGCTGAAAACTCACCCGAATATACCAATGCAAGAGGCCAACTATAAATTCCTCACGAAATGGTATATCACACCTGTAGAGGCAAATAAATACAAACCACAACAATCCCCCATATGCTGGAGATGCGGGTTAGAACAGGAACATACTATCACATTTGGTGGCAGTGTAGAGGAGTGGTAGGATTCTGGAAGGAAGTCGTGAGATTAACGGAACACCTTAGCGGGATACCCATAGCATTCACACCTGAGGCACTTCTTTACTTCCAGATACCCATTTCCCTTGCCAAATTTAAAAAGTCTATCTTATATTTTCTTCTGACAACAGTGAAGACAGTAATAGCGGGGCACTGGAAATCTCAAATTAAACCCTCACGCAGGGAATGGTACCTCAAGATAGATTATATTCATAAAATGGAGGAACTCAGAATGTCCACACTAGGCAAGCAACATTGGTTCAACACAATATGGAGTTCCTGGAAACTATTTACACAGGGACACCAACACCTCACTAAGAGCTTCAATTGACCCAGTGAATACTAAGGGACAGCTAAATCTTCAAACCCCATATACAAACCATCCGCCACAAAACTCGCGAGTATACCCGCAAATTCTAAAGAATGAGCGAGCCTTAAACAGGGTGGGAGGAGAGGAGGGGTGGGGGACGATCCACTCAAGTCTTGGGGGACCGGGAGCAGATCTCATAGGATTGGGAGGGAAAAAGCCCCACAGGGGCCTAGTTGACCAGGAGAGTTGCCACCCTTTGGGGGAGTTTTTGGGACCGAAACATAGAGGATGGTAGGAACCTGTTCCCAGGGGTACACTGGCCTTATAGGTGGCAGAACATTCTGAACTTTAGATTGCACAACCTACATGTTATTGGTTTTGTCGGTTTTTGTTGTACTAATTCAATATGGATATTATTTATGTGAAATACTGATGTATCTAAGTCACTTTGGATTTATGTGAAATGTGTTCATGTTACACGCTCTCAAAAGAAAAGCAATTAAAAAAAAAAAAAAAAGTATGAATACGAAAGGCGTTAGGGAGAGCGCCTTGCGTTACCAGTTAAGACCACGAGACAGGATCCTGAAAGTGAACCAGCAACAAGGCTCTGATGCAGACAGAGTCAGCTGTTAGCCCGGAGCTCGATTGGATCTTGCTGATAAAGCTAAGTATAGGGGAAAAAAATTGTCGCAAAAAGCCAAACCGGAAGTACATGTGGTAACCAATGTAACATATGACCTGAACAAGAACGGCCCAGGTAAGAGGGTAATTGGGGTTTTTATAGGATAAGATACATTCCATCTCCTCCCACAAATACAGGCCTATGGCCTTAAAACACACACACATATATATATATATATATATATATATATGTATATATATATAGTCAATACATTGCTAAACACAAATACACACACAAGTCAAGCAATAGGACTGGCTTTTCCTACAGAAATCTCACTTTAACAGTGCTATCACTACTGCAAGGGATTCTGGATAGGCGTATGCAAATGAGCTCAACAAAGAACCAAATCTTTGCCTTATAATTCCACTTTATACATGGATTCCTTGGAGTCTGTGTCTGCTGTATACAACAGCTTTGAAACACAACCCAGGAAGCGGAGCAAAGCCAGTGAACCACTCATGGACAGCTGTTTAATGCAACTCATCATCAGCATGAGGTTGGTTACTGGTTTGCTATGGAGGCTTGGCGTTACTTGTAAAGTGCATACCAAGAGAGTTATGGTGGGGGAAAAAGTGTGGATGAAAACCCATCTCTTTAGTAGGGATGTGCATGGGCCAAAAATTTGGTTCGGTTTGGTACTTCCGAAAATCGTGACTTTGGCAATTCTGGACTTCAGCAATTCCCTAACCCTACTCCAACCCCTAACCCTAACTCTAACCCTAACCCCTTACCACCACAACCAATTACACAACTAGGGGTAGGGTTAGATTCCTGTCATCATTCCCGTAATTGTTCCTCCCTCTCCTGTTTTGCCTCTTTTCAAAAATCCAAAGCACTTCGGCACTTTTGAAATTCGGCACTTCGGTTCAGTTCGGGACTTCTGAAATTCAGCACTTCAGACCCTTTGGGAATACCAACAGAGAGGGATTGGGGTGAAGAGGCAGAGCCAGAGTTAAAAACACTGAATGAGCGCTGGGAGAGTGTCAGGATTACTAGTTGATCCAGCACGCAGAATTATATCACACCTAGGACTAAAGGTAACATCTTACCGGACCTTAAAATGGCCAGACTTAACGTACCAGAGAATAGTTAGAAAACCTGCTGAGTTCAGGGACACAGGAGGAGACACAATGATGAGGGAAAGCCAAAAGTCAAGGATACCAAGTCAAAACGAAATCAAGGTCAAAAACCAGAATTTAAATGAACAGGAACACTCTCTCAGATAACCAACTAAGGGAAACCACAACAGAGCACTGAACCAAAGGTAATTTGGGTTTAACCCCTTAAGGACACATGACATGTGTGACATGTCATGATTCCCTTTTATTCCCTTTTATTCCAGAAGTTTGGTCCTTAAGGGGTTAAATACTCC